TGCAGTATGCTTTTGCTAGCCATAGTTTAGAGACCTCTATCCAATTTTCTAGAAAGCATTGCTTAGGATTAAAAATAAAAAACCCACAACCACCACCTAGCATTTTCATCAGAGAAACTACTTGGAAGCAATGCTGCACTTCAGTGCAGAGACAAAGGAGTTACTTTACCAAACCTTAGAGGGCAGCAATTTCCTGCCAGCCCACATAAAGCAGGTTTGTCATTCTGTTTTTGCAGCTTCCTTTTGCCATTGCTGGTGAGCAGGCTGAAGGTTTGAGGAGAAGGGGCCTGTGCACTCCCTCTCTGTTACTCCCATTTTTACATGTGGACCAGTCAGAGACCTTTTCCTTGTGTGACCAGTTACTGAATAAATTGCATCTGAACTAAAACCTGTCTGGGCACTGAACTGTAGGGTTAGAAGGGACCGCAAGGGTCATCTAGTCTAACTCCCTGCCAAGATACAGGATTTGTCGTGTCTGTTTCTTTATTCTAGCTGTCACCTCCCAGGTGGCATGTCTCATGTCCCAGAGCAGTCAATGGCGTTATACCAGGGATGAAATGCGCCTTCTGTCTTATATTGCACATAGCAGCACCCTGCTCACCTCCATAGGCCACTGTTCCCTGCGAATCTGTGATCAGACTCTGCCGTAATTGCTTCTTCTTCTCCTCGGTCACATCCAGACCCAGATATTGCAGCACCTTTAAACAGAAGCAACAAGTCCACAGAATAATCCCCACAGGAATGCAAGTTTTCTGGAAGGAGTTGGGGGGGAGGGCAGTCTGAGCTGGATTTATCATCAAGTTCATCATCATTCACACCGTAAACATGACTCTTCATGGAGCAGGTCTGGCCTAGGTCTCCATGTTACCTCCTCACCTAGATCTGGAACCATGTTGCATCTCTTCTGATCTCTTCCCATGAGCACTTCATACAGAGTATGGGACAGATCTTCAGCTGATGTAAACTGTTCTCGCTCCAGTGAAACCAATGGACAACAACTCTGTGCTGCTAAGAGTTCAGCTTCCTTTCAGTTCCCATTTATGCTCGCTCGCTCACTCCCTAGAATGAGTCTTCGGCGTGGTTAGAGCGTGCAAACAATACAAGTCTCACTGCTTTTTTCTGCAGAAGGCATTGTCATAATACTTTACGCTTCCATGGGGCCTTCCAGTCAAAGAGCTACGTTATTATTATTTATTGTTTCTTTGGTTTCTTTACTTTGTGTAGAAGACACAAACATTAATTAAGCAAACCTCACCGCAGCAACACAGACAAACAAATCCATGTTATTTCTATTTTATACATGACAGGACTGAGGGACACAGAGACTAATGCACGGTCCCATTCTGCAGCAAGTCAGTGACAGAGCCTAGATTAGAAGCCATGTATTGTCCTCTTCTCTAACCGATAGACACATGGGAAATTCTGGATTTTCTCCAGCTTGGGCCCACAACCTTGGAGAATCCCTCTTGGGGGAAATAAAATGGCATTCAGAAACACAGCTTTTAAAGTGCAAGGCAAAGTGTGCTATGCTCCTTATAAATGAAGCAACTTTGTGTTAAAGCCAGAATAAGTAGAGACCAATGAGAAAATACAACCCTGAATTCTAAATGAGAAGCATCGTGCATTTCTAGCAGGAAACGTTGTACCCACATGCTACATTCCTGATTTTCCTGGGATTCCAAACTGAAAAGGCAACTGCTTTGTCCACCATGAGGTGGCAGCAAATGCTAGCCTCTATGCCTGGAAAAGGTGTGTCTTGCCCAGCAAGCTGTATCAGCGCCAACAGGAATAATAGAACCAGATACTCATGACAGACGCTGTACCTATCCAAAAGCCTGGGTGGGGAGATAACCTTGGGGTGGGTGGTACATTTCTAGACTGTATCCATCACATTACAAGAAAATACAGTACGGGTGGGCGGGGTGTTCATATTTGATATAAAATGGTTGAGAATAAGAAATCCAAAGGACAATCAAGTTAATTAGGCCTCACTATTTAGTCACCAGTAAGTTCTGGTCCCCATCCTTTGAAGAGGATTGGAATGTTTTATCAAAATACTTTAAACTAGGAAAAACCCCACAACATTCTTTAGATCCTCAGCACTTCAAGCACATCTTGACACACTGTTATATTGGGCCTGATTCTTGCTTAAGGCTGGTCTACACGGGGAACTTACACTGGCATAACTACATCTACATTCATACCCCTGAGAGACGTAGGTGTGCCGATCCAACCCCCGGTGCAGACAGCGCTAGGATGATGGAAGAACTCTTCCGTAAATTTAGCTACTGCTTTTTGGGAAGGGGGATTACCTACCCCAACAGGCAAACCCCTCCCGTCAGTTTAGGTAGCGTCTACACTGTAGGGCTACAGAAGCGCAGCTGCAGCTGTAGCAGTTTCAGTGTAGACGTCCCCTTACACTAAGGCCCACTTATATGGCTCTAGCAGTATGAAGGGGCCATGAAATGGGTGTAGGTTAGTGTAATGAGAATTTAGGCCATCATAGCAAAAAGTGCTCAACTTCAATGAGAGCAGGATTGGACCCACAGATAGTGGAAGGGGGGTCCTTCTGAATCAAAAGCTCTCTATAGATGTGTAACACTAGTGCCAACAATAACCTTGCCAGAGGAGGACACGGGAGATTTTAGGGGCTCTCTGGACACAAAGCCAAGCCAGGAGAATTCAAATGCCTGTAGGTTCTAATCCATGTGATGCTGTCACACTGTGTCTTCCCTGTTTCAGGTCTGGCATCCTCTACATCTCAGAATTTTGGAGGAATGGCGCAGATATTTCTTGACCGCAAACTGAACTCAGATATGGTGCAACAGGGTCATTTTTTCACAAGACCTGTTCTGATAGTTTGGTAGAAGCCTATTATCCCTCTATCTCATTAATCAGATTAGGACTTGAACCTAATTGTACTGGATGAGATCTGTGATCCTAATAATGTAATCAATGTTTTGAGCACTGTGTCTGTATCTCACATTACCTGAACTATGACTCACGCATCTATTAATAGCCCTATACACCCAGGTCAGGTTCTGGATTAGAATAAAGGGAAATCAGATGGAGCAGACTGAATCCAGCACTAGATGATGTAGGTGCAGATTAGGTCACGTGACCCAGTGCTATAGATTTATTCTATGCAAACAGGTAGGCACCAGATTCTGTCAGACTAGGTTTGTGGTATTTTAATCTCTCCTGAAAGCAAGCGACATACTAACCCCAATGCCTTTCATTGACACCGTCATCATGAGCCCGAACATAATGTTTGTGCAACAGAATTGGGAAAGATTCAAGCTGAGAAACCTAGATATATTCGCAGCTCCACATGTGCGTCCATGGGATCTCAGTGCATAGACACCAAGGTACAGTCTGTGCACTGATTTGAGAATATACCACCACATATAAAATAAATGGCATATTGCCAAAGATTAACAGCCTAAAAAACAAACAAAAATTTTTTCCACCAAATACCTTTAGATGGCTTGAGCAAAGACAGAAAATTACAAAACAAAGTAAATAAGGCAATGCCCAGGTTTGGACAAAGCCCTATTGCAATCATTCTCCAACTTTTCCATCATTCTTCAAGTTCGAGATCCTCTCACTTGGCACTCCCAGTCCTAATCTTTCACCTGCCCTGCAGCTGCCAAGAGTGCTTGTGTACTGTGTGTACTTGTGGAGTTGCAAATAATGACCTTGCTCCTTGTTATACAAACATACAGCAAGAGAACGTACTAGCTTCTTGCATGCAATAAAATGATCAGCATCATTTTTAGGTAGTTATGCTTCATGGTCTCTTTCAAATGTTTTACACTATTACCAATGCCAGTTACTAGTGGTTTGGGGCTGGACACCACAGAATAATATATTGCCTATTGGTATGTATGGGATGCCACATTCACCCATAAACTAGAATACTGTATATTCACAAATGCAATGAAGTCTGTATCAAACCATTACCACTTGTATTTGGAGCTCAGCCATTATTATTATTTGTATGCAGTATCACCTAGGAGCCCTATTGCTAGACCAGGGACCCACTCTGCCAGGTGCGGTACAAACATAGGACAAAAATGGAGTACAGTTTTATCCAGTCATCTATCTGGAAGGTAATTTCAACCCAGCAATATTATGGTAAAGACAATGGCCCCAACTGAGATGTGGCATACCAGGATGACACTCCCACTAAGACAATACAATTGTCCTCCTTATTAGAGCCAGAAGAAAAAAGGAAAAAACAGGTTTGCAAAACAAATAAACTAATCAGAATATTTTTCCATTTTGGATTCAAACTTGACCAATTTTCATTTGTAATGTTTTTTTGCAGGATTTGTGTGTCCTGGTTTCCATTTTTTTTAAATGACAGGAAAACAAAACAGGATTTCAGCCGTTTAGGAAAGCAAGCAAGCAAGAGAAAACCAAATATGGTAATTTTTTTTCATTTCTGATTTTGTTGAAAAACTGAAATAATTTCTAAAAACACCCAAAAAGGGCTATTTTTGAATGATAAACTTTTTCTTTGAAAATTTTGAACCATCTCTAGCTTTCAGACCAGGACTGAGTTTGCCCCTGCATCCTGGTTTGCTGCCTATAAGATCTGAAGACACAGAAAGTGTTCTTTCTTTTGCTGTTCTATTTTGTGTTTATGTTTTCTTCTGGCCTTCAACATTTTTTGGCCCATTATCTCCAAAGGCACCTCACCTATTCCTGCAGAGAAGCAGCTGTCTCCAAGCAGGACATTGATGCTGTTCTATTAACACGGAATGCTGAATTGGACTGGGGCCCACAAAATGATCTCTGAGGCAGAGACCCATGAGTCTCCTGTTTCAATCCCTAATCTTGCTTGACCTGGGACTGCCTGGATATCTTAACATTAGTGTGGTTCTCAGACTTTCATAGCATGAACCACAACTTAATATCCAACCTCACTTCCCCTTCCATCTACCACCGCCTGGCCCCACCTCCTCTCTCATTTGCCATCACCTGATCCTTCTTCCCTTAACCATCCTCATACAAATTACAGCAATTTCCTTCCTGGAAAAGCAATATGAGGGAAGTGCTTATGTAGTTTTAGCATCTTTTAATGCAATTTAGCAGCTGGAAAGAAGTAGGAGGAGCTGGCACCATGTAGTCTGGGAGCCCCCATCATTTTATTGAGCACAAAATCTCAATTTCAAGGCAGGAAGCCTTTTAACTTACCAGTTCGACTTTCCCATCCTTGAGTCGAATATGGGGATCCAGCGCTACTTTCGGTTTGCTGCCCGAAGCTGCTCTCTGACTAGAAGGTGAAGCAGGCGCTAAATAACATTAAGCAATCATTAGTGGAAGAGCATGGGAGGTGGGGGAAGAGAGATGTTGACAAGGCACGTCCCAAACTAAGCTCAGGGCTTTGGCATTGCATAAAATATGTTTCAAGTACAGATGGGCTAAAATCAGAGGCCAGGATTTTCAGAGGATGGGTGCTCAATACTCTCTGAAAACCAGGACACTTTAAAATCTCCACTTGGGCATCACAAATGAAGGCAACTAAAATTACAAGTCGCTTCTGAAAATCTTGGCCAGAAGTTTATATATGAGGCCTGGGACTCTGAACTTTGGTGATTTGAATAAAATTCAACCTGGATTCCGACCACCCCAATTTATGCTTCGGTTTTACAAAACCAAAACCCAACCAGTGAGGTTTTATAAAAATCCACCCCGGCCCCTTAGCCCAGGAGTTCTAACCCAGATTCAAAGTAAGGTTTATGTAAGTGCTGGACTGAGTGTGGTCTCAGAGAAGTGTTCCCAACTCCCATTAAAGAGAGAATTCACAGGTTAAAAACACACAAGAAAACGTGTTGCAGGATTTCTCCCTGCATTACTGTTATGAAAAGCACCAGCTCCCTTTCACTCAGGCTGGGCACGCTGCATAGTATGTGCAGGGTGTACAGTTAAGATGAGGCTGGAGAATGTTTGTGTCCACAATAGAAATTGTATTGTAAGAAGGGAAACGGTAGAGTGTCTCCGTCAGAGAAAATGACTGAGGCATTGGGAGAGAGACCCGGCCGCTGACAATCTGCTCTTCATTACAGGGGGCATTTTCAAAAGTGCCCAAATGACTTAGGAGCACAAGTCCCGTTGACTTCAGTGGGACCTGTGCTTAGGAAAATCCCACAATTCAGTTAATTCCTGCAGCCCCCAACAGACCCCTCCAGAAGAGGACTGCAGAAACTGCTGCTCATTTAAGGGGAGGCCCAGATGGACTCTAAAAATGGGTAATGCCACCGCTCCTTTTAAGACCCTGCTAATGAAGCTCTTTGAATCTGATAACAAAAAGGGCTTATAAAACCTGACCCTGTTCACACCAGAGTCAGTGACAAAATTCCCATGGACTTCAGTGGTACAGGATCATGTCCATAGAAGAGCGTCCAAGAGCCATTTTCTTTCATCTTTGCAATGCCTGGGAACTGGGGCACAGGTTAACAAAGAAACTGATACCCAGATCGCCTTAAAGACCTCCTGCTGTTTTAAATCAGTGGGTGGGATTTTCCAAAGCACAAGGGATTTAGGAGCACAAGTCATGTTGAAAAAAAAAATCAGTGAGACACATGCTCCTAACTCACTCAGGTACTTTTGAAAAAATGCCACTCACTGTGACTCTCAGGTGAAGAGAAGATTTTATGGAAACACAGGGGAAAAGCAGCAGAGGTGCTGTCACAAGCGTAATCCTCCTAATCCTGATATTTATCTGTCCCGCTAATGCCAGCAGCTGGGAAGCAGGGCCTGAGGTAATAAACGGGTTCACTGGATTGGTCACCCAGTCCCATGCTGTGTAGGTTCAAGGGCAGATCATTCCCCTTCAACTCCTTGCTAATCGGGATTAGCTCCATGCAGCTTTGCTCATAAACTCTCAACACAGACATCCCAGGCAATCCCGAAGGCCACCAGGCACCGGTGATCAGTCAAGAGGCCCCAGTGACTTATTCAGATTTCAGACTAAGCTCCTGTCCCCCCAAAACTATTTGTTTATTCCAATGTATAATGGGGCCTGTTCAGAACTCTGTGCCCTTCGCTGCACTCGTAACACCCGCTATTAAAAGCAGACATCTGTAATGGACTGCCTGAGATGATTCTCAGCCTAGATTATACTATTTGTATGACTAGCAGCCCAACTGAGATCAGGGTCCTAGTGTGCGAGGCGCTGTACAGAAAAAGAGCAGGAGACGGCCCCTGCCCCAAAGAATTTACAGCCTAGACAGACAAAAGATGGGAGGGGGACACAAAGGAGAAGTGACTTGCCAAGGGTTACATAGCAGAGCTGGGAATAGAACCCAGTCTGCCTGACTGACACTCAGTCAGTCAGTCAAGGGCTCTGTCCACCAGACTACACTGCCTCATAGGTCTACTATGTAGATAGACTAACTAACAACTGCCCCCCATAGGCTGGCCTTGGCCCGTCCCTTCAGACCCTCCCCTTCAAGAGGAAATATGTTCTTGACAGCATGTCCTGGGGGTTAACAAAGCAGGTCTGGGGCCTTACCAGTGTGGGGAAGCATATTTCAGAGTGGAGGGCCCTTAACAGACCTTCCTGCCTGCAGCTCTCTCTTGTTTCAACCAAAGGATCTCTTCTCGAACGCCAATGCAGAATGCAGTGTGGGAGTGGGAAAGAGTCTGTCGTAAGCCTTGTCTGCACTAGGAGAAAGGTGGGGTTTCACCAGGTGGTAGCTAAAGCGTGGTGACAATCACATAGTGAAAACCAGTGTGGCTAAGGCAGGGGTAGCTTTCACACAGTGGTTGGCTGAGGTAACCTGTAGGTTCCCCTTATACCTGGTCACATGTGCAAACTGCCTTGCCCACACTAGGATGTTTTACCACATATTAGTTACCACATGTTAGCTAGCATGGGGTAAACTCCCCACCTTTATCCCTGGTGCGGTGCACCCGCAGTGTCAGAATAAAGTTTACGGTATCATGTTGAAGATTATCTATTGGGCCACTGAACTGTGTGTATCTCTGCAATTTCCACAGACTCCAACAAGAATAGTGAAGACTTATGTGAGGCCAGAACTCATCCCAGTGCGACTTTACCTGCCATCACATCACTGAGGGCAGTAATTCTTTTTATGAACTGCCCAAATGGCAGGAGAAGAGAGACATTTATATTGATTAAGACTATTTCGCTAAATCATCAATTCAAAGTATCAAAATTAGGACCTCAGTTCCAAAGGAACATTACTCCATATGAATGTCTGTCTCAAAATAGTTTTGTGTATCGCAGAGTAGTCTGACAGCATTCGCAGATGTAGAAATGGACAAGGACAAGCAGCATGGCAGATAAAGCATTTACTTCTTGGGGGAGCAGAACCATGAGCCCAACAGATCAGATGTGCTTCTGTAGATATTATTCATTTTCTTTTTCTTATTAAGCAAATACAAACATCTCTGAGCATATAGAGTAGGGACTCAAAATGCCTAAAGGAAAAAAAAAATATTGAGCTGGGAATGTGTTATTTAAGCCAGAAATGCCTCAGGATCAGCCAGAGGGCTCACTTTCTTCTTCCTCAAAACTTTCTACATCTTCAACTAATGCACAATCTCCATTGGAGAAAATAGAGCATGTGCATTTTAGCATGTATCTGAAACAAGCACGCAGATATCAGACTGGCCGGGGTTGGCGCATGCACATTTGCAAACCCCAACTTTCATGCATGTCTTGGATTATTTGTGTGCTTAAGCTGAGTTTGCTGATTTTTGTGCTTGCTTGAAAATTGCTCTCAAGTGTTTAATGTGCAAACAGATCGAGCCACTTTGGGATTCAGAACTATACAAAGTGGGATCTTAAGTGGAAGAAACGTGTGTTTGTGTGTGCGTGCAAAAAATATGTTTGATGTGTGTGTGGAAAAAATGTTCCCACTGAAATTTTTCAAAATTGGAAATGTTTCTAACCTGCTCTTATCTTAAATGGTAAGTCTCAAGCATCAGCCAGAAGAGAAACCTGCAAGGAGGGAGTCTTCTGTTCAAACCACAAAAATAATGTGAAAGCAAGAGGTATGTAGTCGTCTGTGAGCACAGAGGAAAATATAATTTGAAAGATGAGTATCTTCGTACATGTGAACCTCGAATGCTGAGACAATTATGACAGACTTACAAAGCCCCCTTGTTCTCTCCCATGATTTACAACTACCTCTTTGTGGATAGTTGGAGGCAAGCTATTTGGCTCAATGATCGTGGAATTGTGTTCCCATTTGGGGCCATGCTGTGCTTTGTAAGCAACACTGATTTATCTATTTTCTAATAGCAATTCAGCTTCCCAGGGCCATTCAGTCCCACCAGCAAGGCTGCCAGTTAGTGCTGACTGCAGTAAGGATATCTGGCCACTGGACTGATCCCAAAACCACATTTCACACAGCCTTTGGATAATTGCAGTGACGCTCCATCACTACCAACCCAACATAGAACCGCTGACCTAGAGCTGAAAGGCTCTATATCCCATTGCTAATCCCTTAAGACACTCAGTCACCCCTGCAAAGGCCCCTGCTCCCAGAAACAAGCTGACATGGGGGTATCTAATGACTACTGAATAGAGCCCTACATTAATTGTACCATTGCCTTTAATCAATCCTAATGGACTGGACCCTGTCATTACACTATTAAACTCCACCTACACTGCTGTCAGGGCTGGCTCCAAGTTTTTTGCCACCCCAAGCAAAAAAATGTTCCCATGCCCCCACAGCCCCGCCCCAACTCCGCCCCTTCCCCACCCCATTCCAACCCCTTCCCCAAATCCCTGGCCCCGCCTCCTCCCCCAGGCGTGCCGCATTTCCCCTCCTACCCCTCCCTCCCTCCCAGGCAAGCCTGGGAGGAGGGGGGAGAAGTGGAGCGGCGGCGCGCTCGGG